TGGCACTGAACACAAGCAGGCCAAATAATAAAGTTCATCCCCCACATAGTTTGTAATCTAAAGGAATGGGCAGATCCAACATAGAAATGAGATGTAGTCCTCATAGTCCAAATATCTTGCTACTTATTTTTATCATGTTTTTATTGTGAGGAAGGTGGGGAATGTGCATATCTGGCATCTGAGTATAACTCCCACTCTTCTAGAAACGTGCTCCAGACATGCTCCTATACAATGCTAATCTAACTCTCCTCCATATACTGAGGCATCAATTATACCACATCCCCATATAACACGAGTCCAAGGACTAGGATCTGATCAGGTTTGTTTTGGCATTCAGAAATACCGATCGGATGCGTTCATCAGAAAGTGTATGTAGTTTTCTTCCTACAGTAAAATCATTCTTGTAACAAATGATTTCAGCAAAACACGTTTTGCAATAACTGGTTTAAGAACAAAGAATATGAAATAATCTTTTAAAATGTTTTGAATTACACATTTAGACTTCAGGTCAGGACAGCATCCCCATTTAGGGAAGGTGCCTAACTTTAAGCACATGTAAATGTTAAGCATGCGCTTAAATGCTTCCCTGAACTGGAACCTAAATCAATACAACCGACTGTTCTGAGGCCAAGAAAAGGTGGATGAGGTAATGTATTTTATTGGACTACCTTCTGTGGGTGAGAAAGACAAGCTTTTGAAAGCAACAGAAGTTGGTCCAATAACAGATATCACCTCACCCACCAGGGCTCTCTAATAGACTCATAGACTTTAAGGTCAGAAGGGACCATTATGATCATCTAGTCTGACCTCCTGCACAACGCAGGACACAGACTCTCACCCACCCACTCCTGTAACAAACCCCTAACCTATGCCTGAGTTACTGAAGTCCTCAAATCGTGGTTTAAAGATCTCAAGGTGCAGAGAATCCTCCAGCAAGTGACCCGTGCCCCACGCTGCAGAGGAAGGCGAAAAACCTCCAGGTCCTCTGCCAATCTGCCCTGGAGGAAATTCCTTCCCAACCCCAAATATCGCAATCAGCTAAACCCTGAGCATGTGGGCAAGACTCACCAGCCAGCACCCAGGAAAGAATTCTCTGTAGTAACTTGGATCCCACCCCATCTAACATCCCATCACAGACCATTGCGCATATTTACCTGCTAATAATCAAAGATTAATTAATTGCCAAAATTAGGCTATCCCATCATACCATCCCCTCCATAAACTTATCAAGCTCAGTCTTGAAGCCAGATATGTCTTTTGCCCCCATTACTCCCCTTGGAAGGCTGTTCCAGAACTTCACTCCTCTAATGGTTAGAAAACTTCGTCTAATTTCAAGTCTAAACTTCCTAATGTCCAGTTTATATCTATTTGTTCTTGTGTCCACACTGGTACTAAGCTTAAATAATTCCTCTCCCTCCCTGATATTTATCCCTCTGATATATTTATAAAGAGCAGTCATATCTCCCCTCAGCCTTCTTTTGGTTAGGCTAAACAAGCCAAGCTCTTTGAGTCTCCTTTCATAAGACCGGTTTTCCATTCCTCAGATCATCCTAGTAGCCCTTCTCTGTACTTGTTCCAGTTTGAATTCATCCTTCTTAAAGAGGGAGACCAGAACTGCACACAATATTCCAGAAAAGGTCTCACCAGTGCCATGTATAACAGTAGTATCCTGGGACCAACACAGATACAACATTGCATACAACAATGTGCTGAGGCTGTACAGTTTCATAAGAAATTTAGTTAATCCTCTTAATGGAGGCCAAAGGATTAGAATTGGCTACAGTTACCAATCAAAAGAAAGATGTTTTTCTCCAAAGTTAAAAATGTAAATGGCGTTGAAGCAATACCAAATTCAGACTTTAGTCCCTGTTGAATCTCAGACTTCTAATCCTTTCATACTATGGAAGTGCTTCATTGAACTACCTAATTTCTTTACATATCTATTTTATTATAGCCCCTTCATGATTATCCACTTACTAAGGTCCAAAGAAAACATGAAATTAACATACAAACTGATTCCATTGCTTTTCTTGCAGACTAACTTACAATGTCTATTGCTGTGATTATACACTTGGCCAAACTATAGACTCCGCCACAAGGCCCCAATTCCACAAACACTTAAGTGTTAATTTTAAGCGTATAAGTAGTCCCAGTGAGCACACATGTTAAGTGTTTGCAGGATCAGGGCCTGAGTTTATACCAGTTCTGCCCTCCAGACATTGACTTGCTCCTTTGGGACTAATTGTTTTGTTTATACTTAGCAGATCACACAGTAGTATTCTGAGTTTTACTGCTACTTAACACATCATAAACTGACCATCAGTTTTTCAATTCTCTTTCACCACCTTCTTCATCTTAGGCTGATACCATATTTAGGGGAGTCGTGACAAATTTACTTCAAAGGCTTGAGAAGAATTCTCTGGGAATCAATAATGGATAGTTCTGGAGATGCCACTGTATTGGCAAGGTCACTAGGCAACCCAGCAAGCACAGCTGGGTCCAGTGAGCCACCTCAGATCGTTGTGCTTCCTGATTGTCCACAAGAGTCTGCAGTCTGCTACTTGAGCCTTGCAGCTCCTCAGTGTGTACCATGCCCGCAACTGTGCTTACCCTGCTCTCACTTCTGCTACCTATTCCAGTCCTTGCTCAAGTCCTGCTCCTGCTCCTGCTCCAGCACCAGCCTCCCTACCCGTTCTGATTTCTGACTCCTAGCTCTGATCTTCTGGCTACATCCATGACTCTGACTCCAGCTTACTCTTCAGTTTAGACTTCAACTTCTGACTCCAGTCCTGACCTTGACCTGGCCCCTCAACCCTGACTCTGGTTTTACCCTTGGACTAGTGCCTGCCCCCTGGATCTTCACTTGTCCTTACCCAAACTGCCACCACAACCACCAGGCAAGGTCCCGCTCCACTCACTAGATAGGCTGCCCAGGCCCCAGCAGCTTACATGTATGCTCCAAAATATTAAGAAACAAGAAGAGCTTCAACATTGCACTACTCAGTTATATGATCCATGACATAAATAATGTACTGAAAGAGCACCACTAGGGTGGATTATCAGAGAAGTCATTCATGCTATCTAGATACTGATCCATCCATAATGGTATAAATATAATAAATACTAATACTAATTATACAAGAAAGCTTCTGATATTAAAGATGAATATATTGATATAATTTTCATTATATTCTCTGGTAGGTTTCAAAATGACTTGATTGCTCTCACAAAAGAGCTACTGGGGAAAAAAAGACTAGATTTAAAGCTAAGGAAACTGGAAAACATTTACACGTTTGCATCTTCCTCCTAAATCAAAACATTATGCAATTTTCTATACTTTGCTATGATATTGTGCCTTAGTAAATGTCCTTTGTTGTAATTTTGGAGTTATAAATAAATCCTTTGTTTTTTCAACCAATTGCTATCATGCAGCAATTCTTTGAAATCTACAAGCATTAAACATCAGAGATAAGTTAAGGCAGACATTGTCTTTTTCTATACTGCTTCTGCATCAATGTATGTAGAAGAATTAAATCCTTTATTAACATCCCCAAACCACAGCAATCATGAATAAGATTACAAACAATTCAGATTAAATGAATGAATACATAAAAATCTTAAAGATCTAGTTTCTCAGGCTGTTTTTGACTGTTGCATTGCCATTAATCTGGAATAATTTTTTGTTTTTGACTGCTATGATGTAAATACAAGTATTATAACACTCCTCAAATATTGTTTTATACATTTCCTGTTCAACGTGTGCTCAAACATAGGTAACTTGTTTCTTTAATATTAAAGTAGAGTGGGAACTAACTAGTTGCAAGATAACTGATTATCATAGCCTACAGTATGGAATTTCCACAGATCATTCACATAAAAGTCCAGACAGAAGCAGGGCTGTTTCTTCTTATGAGTTTGTACAGGACCTATAATAATGGCTCTGATCCTGACAGGGAGCCTCTAAACTCTATTATAGTATTATTATGAAAAAATAATATTGAAGATTAGTAGTGCTTACTGTTTAAACACTGCCTCATCAAACTCTTATGCTTCAGTGTTTGAATCCAGACCAAAACCGACTGTATATTATTCCAATCATAATATTAACAAGTCACAAGTTTAATTACTTAAAGCACTCTTAATGCTTCTCACAGAACTGCCATAAAATCTGATTAATTAGACAGGCTCTACTTTGATAAATCCATAAATTGACTGTGTAAATAACGGAGGGTCTCATTAATACCAGCTCTCATCAAATGTGAGGTTAAAAAGCTTTGGCAGACCAGGAAGACTGACATTCTGATGGTCTTAATTCTGAACAACTTGCTAATGTCTCATATTGTTAATTTCAGCTTTGCAAACATTAGACAATATGAAAAAATGGTAAAAATTGTAGTTATCTTTTCCCTCTTGTTACAGAGTTAGATTCAATCTTTTTCAAATATTTGAATTTGCTGTTTGTTGATATTTTTAATGTTAAACAGATTCAGAGGCTAAAAAATAAACATGCTCCACACGTGGTAACATTTATTTATGGGACAGCATTTTACTTCCCTTGATCAATGCAAAATAAAGCTTGGTATTAAAAATACTTGGTTCTATAGCTGTATATAACTTAGAAACACTTTTCTTTATCAGACAAGCTGTAAAAATGTTTTGATAAAGTATATTGACAATTCAACATAAAATAATTTATATTATACTGAAACATGATCTAGTATATATAAAAATACAGAAAGTACAAATGGGCCACATGTGGAAAAACAAAACAAAGAATCAGATTTTGGCTGGCCTAGAGCTAGGAGCCTTTTCTGATATGTTAAATCCCTGTACCAGTGCCTGTACTCTCTCTGCTTTACCACCACCACCCACTGCTACACCACCAGTCAGTGGAACAAAGTCAGCACAACAGGAGTGTCACTTGATTCAAAGCAATTAAAAAAAACTACATGTGCAGAAAAAAAATTAAAACTTCAGTAAACCCAACAATATTCCCTCACCTGTTGCATTGCCATTAATCTGGAATAATTACAAGCTTTCACCAGGGTTTCTGCAGCCCTTTTGGCCCGTTGCTGAGGGGCCCCCTTGGGAAATGCAGGCAATATTGCAAGTACATTCTCCACAGTGAATTCTTGGCTCAAGGAGTGCTCCAGTTTTACCTGTAAAACATTTGCAAATTCCAATGATACAAACCACCACTTTAATTAACAGTGTTTTTAGAATTCATTAAAGTTTCAACAAAACATGTGGAAAGAGAGTACATGCTGCAGGACTAAATAATTCAGTAACACGCAAGGCACCTACTGTACACACAGAATGAGTTTTAACTGCTGAGCTCTTTATACTATCTGCAGGAGACACCACTAATCCAAACAACTCTATTTAAACATTTCAGAGTGTAACACACTTTTAAAACATGGAAAGCAATAAACTTTCAAGATAAAAGACAAATAAAACAGAAAGTGTCTGCTCATTGGTTTGAAACCAGTCTGTCTCCATCTGATATATCAGCAGAAGGCTGAAGGTTAAAAGCCTCCTTTGTTGTTGTCTTGTGGTACTGTTAATATATGATTTACAAGATTATACACAATTTGGTGTTAACACATAAATGTACATTTCTCTGGTACAGCAAAAGGGAGCATAAGCCTAATTCTACCAGTGATTCATGACAGAAATAGCATTTGTAAGCGAATACTGTTAGGGCTTGTCTTCACTACCCGCCTGGATCGGCGGGTAGAAATCAATCTCTCAGGGATCGAATTATCGCGTCTCGTTGGGATGCAACAATTGATCCTCAAATCGACGCGCGTACTCCACCAGCGCAGGTAGGACTAAGCGCCGTCGACGGGGGAGCCGCAGAGGTCGATTTGCCGCCATCCTCACAGCGGGGTAAGTCGGCTCGGATACGTCGAATTCAGCTACGCGTCTTAAATAGATCCCCCCCCCCCCCCACTGTAGACCTAGCCTTAGACTAAAACTTAGCTCACAAATGCTTTACTAGGTTACATCTCTTACAGTGACAGTTAATGGGATGCTTGGGCATGCACGTGAGCAGACCTGGAAGCCTTATTCTGCTTAGTGCAGAATGAGGAATAATCTATGAAGTGCATTCAAGCAGTGGGCACTTACTAAACCTGTGCAAAAGGCACTCTCCCTGTCCTGCCACTGGTCTCTAGGTAATAACCAGTGTGTTTGGGGGGAAGGAAAGCTATGGCTTGCCTATGCCCCCAACCCATTTCATTAGTGCAGCAAGCAGGGCTTCATCTCCCCTATCTGCCCTTGCACTCACAGCTGCATTATTACTATGATCTGTTCTGAAATACTGCCAGGCTCCAGATACTGTCTGCCATTGCAGCGCACCCTTGCAGTGGTAACCATAATTTGGCCCCAAGTATTTTGTGTGATGTGTGAAATTTATGGTATTTATAATAATTTGTGTCAACCTATAACCATGTGTAGGTTTACTTTTACACAGAACTGCAGAACTATAGGTAAATTATGCAGTGATGAAGACGCATATCACCACAAGAGAGTGTGTGGTTTGTTTTTAGTCCCTTTTCTAATCCTTCCTTTATTTATATATTTTAAAAATGAAGCTCTACAGCAACTTGTGGAAGAGTACAAAAAGCTTCTTTTTTAATTTTTTTAAACAAGGCTCACAAATCTTCAGAATATTTCACCCACAGTCCTTTTCAATGATCAAATGGTTGGTTACTTCTTTGTAAGGAGATAATCAAAGAAAGCTGCCAAAAACTGTCAGCATGTTAATGCTCCAATGGAATTGTGCTAAATTGCATGTCCTTTTTTTTTTTTTTGCAGACATTCCCACCACTCCATTCCTAGTTATGTATGTGTCCGTGTTCCATGGAGAATTATTTGGTCTAATTAAATATAGTTAAAAGAGCACTTAAAAAAACAGACTCACAAACAAACAAATGATGTTCAGCAGTGGAAACCACTACCTAATCTAGACAATTTTTTCTTCCAGCATAATCATCATCCTGGTGTAACAGACCCACACATGATTACAAAGTCCTAACAGTCTACTATAAGAACAAAAGGGTCATTTGGAACTAAATTTATTTTTTTTAAAAGAGCACAAAATATGCACCAGGACCCTACTGTGCTAGGCACTTTACAAACACAGAACAAAAAGACAGTCCCTTCCCCAAAGAGCTTCCAGTCAGTATTACAAATGTCACCCATATGCCCACGTTGTCACACACTCACTCTTGCTAGGTGAAACTTCACTCATAGCAGGGTTGCAGCCAGTGAACAAGGTTCCCCCTTCACTTCCTTCTCCCAGCTACCAAACGCTACTCCTGGGCATTACCCCCAAAGATTCACTTTTCCCTCTGCTGGCTCCCTCATCCTCCACTCTGCATCTCAGTGCAGCACACTGGAGCAGGAAGCAAGAGGTGACCAGCAGTGCTGCTCCCTGCTCCTAAGCAGCAGCATTCCATCCTTGGAGGCACCTATGGCATGAGGCAGATAGGGCTACAGGGAATGTAATAAAGTTCAGGGAGAGAAAGGATGGAGGCAAAGTGAGAAGAGGGAGACTGGTCCATTGCAGGAAATAGGCCAACAAAAAAAGTGGCAGAGAAAGGGCCAAGGCTGGGATCTACATAAGGGGCTTAGGCATTGCAACACCTAACTTTTAGGCACCAAGAAAATCACTGGAACTACACTGGAAACCACAAAGTCTGAGTTAGGCACCTAGGCTCCTGTACAATGAATGGAGAGAAAGAGGTGCCTAAGAGCGAAATCCGCAAAAGCCAGCATGCCAGGGGTGGGGGGAGCCACCTAAACTAGCCAATGGGAGATGCCAACAACGGGTGTGACCTAAGCCTCACCCCCTCACGGAATTAGGTGCCTAAGTCTGAGCTGCAGGGAGTCACTTATTGCTGATTGTGATCGATAGCTGGAAATCCCTCTCCTGGAGCTTAGGTGCCTAAGCAGTTTCTTGTGGGAATTAGTTAATTGCCTGTCTCACTCCACACAAACAGCTGGAGAAGGAAGCAGCAGCACTCACCTTATAAATTTTTAGCCCAGTGGTTAGAGTACTCAACTGGGATGTGGGAGACCCAGGTTCCATTCTCCGCTGCCTGATAGGGAGAAAAGATTTAAACACGTGGTCTCCTACCTCTCAGGAGAGCGCTCTGGGCTATGGCATATTCTGATGTGGGGGTTCTCCCTCAATCTCTCCTGTGGAATCTGAATCTCCCTAAGTCTCTCACCTCCTAGGTGGGTGCCCTAACCACCAGGCTATAGAGTCATTCTCAGTGTTCTCTCTCAGGAACTATGCCTACACAATAACTTATGTCGGCAAAACGTACGTCACTCAGGGGTCTGAATATTCCATCCCCCTGAGTGACATAAGTTATGCTGTCATAAGCGCTAGTGCGCACAGAGCTTCTCCCACCAACATAACTACCGCCGCTCGTTGATCATGGATTAATTACGTTGACTTGAGAGCTCTCTCCTGTCGGCATAAAGTGGCTACAGGAGAGTTCTTACAACAGTGCAGCTGCATCGGTACAGCTGTGGCACCATAAACTCTCTAGTGTAGACTTATCCAAGTACTAAGTACTTATCCAAACTGGAATAGCTTCAACAGGAGAGACTGAAGGAGATTCTCCCCCCACCTCCACCCCAACAGAATACCCCATAGCTCAATGGTTAGTGGGAAAGCTCTGTTCAAATCCCTTCTCCCAATCAGGCAGAGGCAGGAATTGAATCTGGGGTCTCTTACATCTCCAGCCATTGAGCTAAAAGAAGTTATAAGGTCATCTCCTCCTCTAGCCAGATTTTAATGGAACACAATCCAGTAGACAACCTCTGAGCTCAGCTACCAGTTCAGGCCCCACAAAGAAGACAGGCATTCACCTGCTTATCTTCCCCTGGCCTCTGGGTTATGCTGGGGCTTAGGCAAGAGATAGGTATCCTGACACTTGCAATTCATGTGCCAGAGACAGAAATGTAGGCATCTACGGGGACTTTTCCAGCACAAATTTAGGCACTGAGTGAGTTTAGGCCACAGCTGAGCTGGGGTTTTGTGGATCACAGTGGCACCTAAGACTGGGACTTAGGCACCTAAATCTGATCCCAAGTGAAAGACAGCACAGACAATGATGACCAAATAGAGATGGGGAAAGACTGGGACCGTGAGAAGGAAAGAGAGGAATGAAATGGGGGAGGATGTTATTGTGCTTAACACACAGGATTGGGTGTCAGGACTTTCAAATCCTATTCACAGCTGAGTCACTATATGACCATGGGAAGTCATGCCAGTTTTTGGTGCCTTACCCATTTGCAAAACATGGATAGCCCCCAGGTGATAGCACTTTATGGTCTTAGGGTAGAAGTATTACAATTCATTTATTATTGTTAGATGGGGAAAGGAAGGCTGACTTGTAAAAGGAGTTTCATTCAAACACTTTCATCCACAAAAATGTCACTTGATGAGGGACATAAAATTTGACAGCTGTGCCTGGTGTGAACCTGAGCAGTAGGAATAGAGCAGTATCTCTTTCTATTATGCTTTCAATGGAGTAAACAATGCTACTTAGAAGATTAATTAGGCTCAGGCATTGTAGGCAATTAATTAATGAAACAGTCCTAACTGCAGGTAATGAACAAATTCTGGAGTGGCAGTGTGAATATGGGTTTTCGGAGTGAAAGATTTCTTAGGAAAATGTATGAAAAGCCTCACCGGAAACATAAAACCAGTTTTTCTAGTTCACCTTGATCATTCATCAATAACCCCATATCTATTGCAGATGAACTATTTTTCCAAGATTTAAGCCTATTACCATAGTATTCTAATTATTTGTTCCCTGCTACAGAAATAGCACCAGAGGATTTCTTCTCTCTCCATTTCCATGAACACTTGTTCCAATTTCCTCAACACGCAGAAGAAAATTAGATTTTAATTACTTTGTCCCTCAAATATATAGTAATAACATCTGAAGCTCTAATGGTATAAGACAAATTAACAAATGTTAAATTCTTCATGGAGGATCACACTGTAAAATGTGTATATATATAATTTCATTCAGGAATTTTTCTAGAGAAGTTATTCCAATTTAGTTTTAGAACAAATATAATATTTATAAAGTGTTTTCTTTTCTGAATGACTATACTGCTTAACAATCATCTT